CTCCTCCCTGTTGGGGAGCATCAGCCCTTGGAAGCCAGGCAGCGCTGGGGCAATCTTGCCTTTGAGGCCACCAGGTGATGTAGCACAGCCTCCCTGCCTGAGCCCCAAGGTGGTGACCAGGAGCAGCCAGCAAGCTGGCCCTCAGGAAATCCCTGAGTCCATGAATGGTCCTCAATACCAGGGCAGTCCCTCCTCCTCCTCCTCCTGCCAGCTCAGGGCCTCTTGCTGCAGCCCAGGGGGGTACACACTGCACCCCAGGGGCCGGGAACACACGAGGCCACCTGCACCCAGGCTACCCATGTCCTGTTCACAGCAGCAGCCACAGCCAATGAGCAGTAACTCAGGCGTCCCCTCCTCACAATATCACAAGCGAGGTCACACAGCTCAGGGGTCCCATGGCTGTCATCCCACTCCTATGCTCCCCCTGATGCATCTTTCCAGAAACCTTGAATGTCTCCAGTTGAGTTATGAGCCTATTATAAAAACCCATCCTCTAAATCCTGAGGGGATTTCATTGACCTTATCAGACCCAAAAGCTACAATTCTCGTTGCACAGGTCCTGCTTTACCTTGGTCTTAACCATCCAGCAGAAAAGCATAAAAACGAAGTATAAGAAGTAAAGCCATGCTGTTATGTTGAGCTGTAGGGGACTCAGGTCAACAAGTTCTGACATTGCCAGTCAAGCGGAAGACCCAATACTATTATGGACTGCTGGACTCTTTTAGAATATTTTGCTGAGTTTACACACGTATAATATTTAAATAACGGAACTAAACAAAAAAAGGGGATACAGATGAATGTCCCTTTTGTATCTGTGTATTCAAAGTGGTTAGCATAGATATATAGTTACATTCTCTTAATGAATAGAGAGATTTGTTCTAATGGTGTTTGTAAATAAGATATCAAGTCCGCATCTTGTACAGCAATTAACCACTAGAAAGAATGTATGCAATGTGTTAATTATTGAAACTGCCCTACCAATTTGGTTTGAAACTGTCTCATTGCTATTTGTTTCTCAATAAAACTATGGGGAAAAAATAAAATAAAAAAATAAAAACCCATCCTCTCTTCCACCTTGTCACCCCTGGCCACCTAAAACATGGGCATCCAACCAAATCAGAATTTCAGGTGGGCTGGGGAGATAGCTCAGCAGCATAAGCACCTGCCTGGCAAACACAAGGTCCCAAGTTCAATCCCTAGTAGTGCAAAAATAATAATAATAATAATAATAATAATAATAATAATTTCAGGTGACAAAGTTTAAAAGTAACGTCTAAGTATAAGCATAGCCCAAGCAATAAGTGGTTTTTTGCATTTAACTGGGCTGCTACATCTGGCAGCCCCCGCCTGGTGCCCTTGACACCAGCGCTTCACCCTGAGATGGTCCCAGGATACTCACCTGGCCCTATCTCCCTTCTTACTCCCCCACTAGCTGCAGCAGGGCGCCCCAGGCCACCCCATGAGCCCCAGGCCTGGTCCCAGTGCCACAGTTCCAGCCTTCTGAAGGATAGGCCCCAGGGGGTCCCACCTGCCCTTCCTGCCTGGTTCCCTTAGCCTACTGCTGCGGGGGCTGGCATGGAGGAAGGAGGCACAGAGCCCGGAGGGTCAGGAGGGTCCCTGGGAGGGCGGGCACAGCTCCTGGCGCATGCTCAGCAGCCTGGCACTGCGGCGCTGTCCCTGTTAACCCAGTTCTGTGGATTCTGCCACCATACTCTATCCCCCTGGGTAGGGGTCGATCTGGGCTGCAGGTGGCAAGGCCAACAGAAGGCACACGAAGCTTGCCTCTTCCTCTTGAGGTACAGGCTCTGCTCGGCCCTGGTGCTTCGAGCACAGTGCTTCGTCTCATCGCTGCTGGGCAGGCAGGGCCTGCAACTAGAGGTCACCGTGGGGAGCCTGTGTCTCCTCATCCACGAGATCACCCACCTGAGCCCATCATGGGGTGAGGGGCACATGACCCCAGCCTGCCCAGCTCAGTGACACCTAAAGCCCTCACCCCAGGCTCAGCTTGCCCCATCCTCAGGGGCCCCCGTGTGCAGCCACTGACAGGGTCATCTGTGCACTATTGCCGGGTCTGACACCCACATACCTCCGTCCACACAGGCCCAAAAGCAGCCCCATAGCAACCCACCATGCATGGGGGTGGGGTGGGGGGGAGGGGTGCTAACAGGACTCCTGCGCCTAATGGTCTCCTCACCCCCATTCAATTAATGTTCCTCCAACTGCTTTTGTTAATGGTAGTTTAATAATCACTAATTATTCAGTACATTCACACACTTTGAATGTCTCACAATCCTCTATTTAATTAGGTATTAAATTTTAAAAATCCAACTGCCACTGCCTGTTGGCGTAGCGGGTGTGACAGAGGCCGTGGTCCTTCCGTATCTGTTGCCACCACCTTCTTCCTGAAGCTGACCCGTGAAAGACCCACGCAATTCCCCTGGGCCCTGGGTGGCACTGAGGCAACCAGTGTGAGGATACAGCACACCCGCAAGCCTGGGTGACCCACAATGTACTGAGCTCTGTAAGGAGTGGGGAGACAGCAAGAGGGTCCCCTCTGGGTCCCTGTCCCTGTGGGCAAGACCTTGACAAAAAAGACCCGACCCCATTATTATGAGGAGAGGAAGCAAGAAGCTTGGGCCAGCTGGGTGAGGGCACACAGGCAGACCTGGGAAAACCAGCCGAAGGAACACTGAGGCCCTCAGACGTGGGACACTGGCACCATCTGTCCAGGAAGGGCAGGGTTGATGTGGGGAAGGACCTGGGGCAGCCTGTGCACTCTGAGTGACAGCATCTTGTGCTTACTGTGCCACATGGGGGGCTGGTCATTCCACCAGGGTCTCTCAGCAGCCACCAGATGGGCACAAGTGTGCCCGGAGGTGAGACGCCACCTGCCCTGGGGGAAGCCCACAGGTCTGCAGGTCAGAGAAATCTGGATCCCTAAGAAGAGGTGGCCTGGCAGGAGAGGACACAGGATAGAGCACCACGCCGTGGAGGACAGTGAAGCAGGATTCTATCTGCCAAAGGAGGCCAGGAAGGACTGCCCTGTGTGCCCTGGGGACCCCGGGCTACCCAGCTCTGTCACCACCAACCTCCACAGGCAGCCTGGGTACACAGGAGCAGGGACTGAGGCAGATGCCCCGGCAGTGCAGCTCCACTGAAATCCTGCCAACCCCAGGATGTGTCCCCTCACCTGTGTCCCCAGCACTGCCAAGCTCCGAGCCCATGCACACACCTGGTTCCAACCCAGCGAGCACTTGGGAGTGTCCACGTGCACACAGATACCCCCCCACCAGGTGTGTGCATGGGCACTGGCAGACACACGTGCACACTGGCACATCCACATATCCACACACTTGCACAAGCACACACACGCTTGTGCATACACAGACACCTCCACACATCCATGGACACACATATAACACCACACATGTACACATGCAGACACTTGTGCATACAAACACCTCCATACACACTTGTGCACAGCCATCTCCACTCACACCCAGTCTTGCACAGGCACACACCCATGTAAAACACCTCCGCATGCAGACACGCCTTTGTGCAAGTCACCGCCACACATACACACTTGTGTTAACACCACATATGCACACCCCTGTAGGCTCCTCCATATGCACATACACACTTTTGCACACACAGGCACCTACACACACGAGAGCAACCTCATCCGCAGCACAGCTGGGCCCTTTGCCCTGGATCTGAGGGGCCTTATGCCACATGCCCTGCTCTGTCGCCCCTGGCAGGAGCCCAGCATGGACCCCGAGCGGCCCTGGGAGCACTCAGCACTGAGACAGTCTGGAGCAGGGGACCAGCAGGCTCCAGGAGGAGACAGTACTCACTGCCCCTACCATCTGGACAGCCACACACAGCTCCTTGTGTCCCACAGGGTGGGCCCAGCTGCCCGCAGACTCCGCAGACAGCAGGCAGCTCTGGGCCCACCAAGGGGACCCCACCCCAGAGCACCTCATGGTGTAGATGTGGGGCCACAGCCCCTCACCCCAGTTTGCTTGCTCCTGGGCTCAGGTGCTCGGTGGAGCTGTTGGCCCAGTCCTGGGAAGGTAGGGAGGTGACAGTCACGACACTGCCATCTCACTGAGCTCCGTGCCCTGCCCTTGCCACACTGAACTTGGTCCTACCCCGCCTTGGGGACAGGGAAACCTAGGCCTACATCCTATCCTTAGACTTTCTTTCTTTCTTTTTTTATTTTGAGATGGGGTCTTGCTAAGCCATTGAGCTGCCCAGGCTGGGCTCCAAGCTGGGCCCTGGCACCAGAGAACAGGCTGGAGACCGACATTGGTTCTGTTTTCCCTAAAGAAGGGGCCTGTCTGCTCCACCAACACGGCACCCAGCACAGCCCGCGCTGGCCCGCCTTCCCCAGCTGCAGGTCTAGTCCTCCCTCTCTGAGGTCACAGGCGCCACCCTGCTTAGAAGACCCTGTTAACTGAGCGTGGGGTAGAGGCCCGCTAGCCCAGCACCCTGGGAAGCTGAGGCAGGAGGACTGCAGTTTGGAGCCCAGTCTGGGCAACTCTGTGGCTGAGCAACACCCTGTCTCAAAATGAAAAAAAAAAAAAAAAAGAAGAGAGTCAGGGATGTTTAAGGTTCAGTCTCTAGCATGTCAAAAATAAGAGTTACATCCCAGCCTAGCGAGGCAGCACGCATCTGTTGTCCCAGCTCCTGGGAGGAACACGGGTTTTCTGAAGGGCTTGGGGTGCAGCTCAGTGGGAGGCCCCAGGCTCAAGCCACAGGGCCAGGACTGCAGGCAACAGCCCCTGGGGCTGAAGTGGCAGCTTCCCCTGGCCACAGGCCTGTGACACACTGTCCCTCTAGCTCCAGGACCAAGGGACCAAAGGCTGGGATGAGAGGCCTGGTGGGGTCCCTCAGACACCAGCCGGGAGTGAACGTGTCCCTCGGACCCCCTCTCCACAGCCTGTGCCCAGGGTCCCTGCCACACCCTGCCCCACCGGCTCAGGGACGGGCACGCCTACCTCTGGCTGACAGCTTCTTGGTGTTGATGATCTTGGCAGCATATTCATGGCCAGTGCAGAGCTTGACACAGCGGCGGACCACAGAGAAAGCCCCCCTAGGCAGGAGATCGGGGAGGGGGACGGAGACAGGGGAGAGAGCAGATTAACTTCCTGCAGACACTCAGAGACCTATCCCCCAGAAGCCCCCCTCAATCTTGGGCACCGCATCCTGGGCCAGCTGGACCCAGGGTCCACCCAGGCTACTCATGCCAGCTTCACAGGCCCAGGGAGTCCTGGGGGCGCTGGACTGGGTCCAGGGGGCCAGTGGATGGGGGTTGGTGCAGCTGGACACCAGGACTCATGGATGGTGTCAGTGGGAGGAAGAAGCACACATAATTAGCTGTAAAGAAACAAGAAAGGGTCCCCTGTGGTCCCCCCGGCCTCACACTACGCAGAGGCAGGGAGGTCCGGGGTGGTGCCTGAAGGGGCATCTATTCACCCTCAGGCTGGGCACGAGCTCAGGAATGTGGGTTAAAATGACAGAGGCTGCAAAGTGGCCCTCGATGAGGTCTAGGCAGCTGGCCACCCGAGTGAGCCCTCTGACCTCTGTCCTGGACCCCCAAAGGGCCCAGCCTCCCCACTCAGCCCAGCTGGGAAACCCCGACTATTCAGGCAGGGGAAGGGCATCTGAGGCACAAAATGCTTTTCTCTTCTTGACTACAATTCTTTGAGATAACAAGAGACATATTATTCGATTTCTTGGGAAAATAATTACATCCAGCTGGTTGTCCCTTAATGGCAGGGTCAGTCTGACTAGTGACCATGCACTCAGCTGCCCCCTGCCTGTCACTGCCCCACCCCCCTGGTACTAAGAATTGGACCCAGGGCCTTGGCACTGAGCTATATCCCCAACCCTTTGTATATTTTCTTTTGAGACAAGGTCTCTCCAAGTTGCTAAGTTCCCCAGGCTGGGATCCTTGCTACCAATTCAGGGTCCTCCTACTTCAGCTTCCCAGAGGGGTGGAATTACAGTTAGGTGCCACCACATCTGTCTTCAGTTCTTGAAGTTGGTGGTGAATTAGAAAGGCTTCTTCCAGGGGCTCCAGGGGCCCACACTTATTTGATCTGCTCAAGAAGCCCATCGGGCACAGATTTAAAATGCCCCGTTAGAACAACAGAAGGGACAACTTCGGGGGACATAGCTCAGCGGCATAGTGCCTGCCTGGCAAGCACAGGATCTTGACGTTGGCTGGTTTTGAGAAGTGACCTTGTCTTGGGAGACAGGACAGGGAGAGCAGAGGCTTCATCTTGATCTGATTTCAATGCTTGTCTGTCCCCTCCAGGGCACACAGGGAGACATGGTTCTCCTAGCCTCATCCCCCCTCCGCTCCCCTACCCCTTCCCTCAGCTGCCATTGTGCTGGTCCTGAGAAGCCTGGACCCAGACCCCCATGAGCACTGACCCTCAGGAGGTCACACAGCAGTCCACATGACCTCCCAGGCTTCTGGTGCCCAGTGAGGACCCCAACCCACAGCAGGGCGGCACCTGTGCACCTCGCCATGGAAGAGGCATGAGCTCATTTAGCAGCAGGCCCTGACATCTCCGAGGTCTCGAAGAACAGGGGGACCAGCACCAACACTGTGCCCCACAGCATTCATAGCTCCTGCCCACCAGAATTCAGTCAGGGGGAACAACACGGCCAGTTCCTGCTGCCACAGGCCAACCCCTATGCATCCCTCAAAACCCCATGCAAATGCGGGTGGTTCCTAAAGGAGCACCGTCCTTCACATCCATTTCTCTGCTTTAATACAGTTCTACATTCACTGGTTTCTGCCCCCCCATACATACCCACCCTGGGTCCTGGTGGCACCCTGGCGTGCAGGAGTCAGAAGTGACCTGGACGGGGAAAGTGACCAGAGGACAGGAGGAACCCAAGGACACCACCCAAGGGTCCAAGTTGATGGCGCCACTGAAGCTGGGCGAAAGTGAGTGCTTTGTTTAGATCTTGAGGACCCCAGGCACTGACCTGTGACAGGGCTTTAGGATCAAACAGAGCTAATTAAGGTGAAGCTCTCTGAGCCCCATTCATTTGCAGCTGGTTCTGCAACACCAGGGAGATGGCCTGAGAGCACAGGGAGCAGTTAATTTTGTGCAGGATCCAAAGGTGCCAGGAGGGGAGGGACAGGGAGGGGAGGAGCAGGTCCCACAGACAACCAGAAAGGTTGTGGGGAGACAGTGTCGCAGGACCCTGTGAACCTTCCTCTCCTCGCCCCACGGCAGCGGCTCCTCCCATCAGAGGTTCCAGGAGCCCCAGCACTAGGTGACCCCAAAGTAGCCACCCTGGAGCCTCTGCCTGTGGCCATCTGTGGCTCCCTCTGCCCAGTGGTCCCTGGAGCCTGGCACCCAAACTTTCCACGATGAACCACAGGCCTTACGTGGCACCACCTCAGTGGGCTGCAGGTGTGGAAAAGGGGGCTCTGGACCTTACTGGGGCCACAGCAGGAGGCAGGGCAGCCTCTCCTCTGCTCCACCACCTGGGTGAAGATGGGGATCCTGGGGAGCCTGCTCCTGCATCCTCCTCTGCTGTGCCAGTGGCTGAGGACCTCCTCAGCAGCAAGGGACAATGACTGCCCCCCCTCACTCCAAGGTCACACCTGGTGAGGTTACCCACAGGAAGCCCCCGTGGGAGGGCTTGGCTCGGGCACTCACTGCCTTGATGTGGAGACACCACGTCCCCTCATGGTCTCAGGGTCATGGCTCCCCTGGGTGCTTCCTCCCTGGGCTCTTGGGGCCTTTCCGTCCCCTCTGTGGCCTGGCAGGGACATTTCCAGCTCCGGCCAGGGTGGTTCTTACCATGTGCACACCCCAGCCTGACAACTCTGGTCTCTCTGAGATGCCTTGCTTGCTGAGTGACGTGGAGACGTGTTGTGATGGCCCAGGGACATGCCGGGGACCCTACCCATCCCCAGAAAGGCCACCAGCTAGTCCAGGGCTCCAGGGTCCCCAGGATCCTTGAGGAAAAGCAAAGACTCTCACACCTACCACACGGGGCTCTGTGCAAGGACCCACGAGAACCGGGCTGTCCCCTTGGCGAGCGCAGCCACCCCCCCACTGAGCAGCACGGATTTATTCCCTGCTGTGTGTCTCTGCACAGCTGCTCTGGGTGGCCAGCCCAGGTGGAGACAAAGGTACATTTTTTAAAAATGTAATGAAGTTGCTATTTGTCTACATGTTTGGTGTTGGGTTTGTTTGTTTGTTTGTTTGTTTGTTTTCTAGACAGGGTCTCACTATGTAGCTCAAGCTGGAATTGAACTCACTTTGTAGCCCAGGCTGGTCTCGAACCCTCAACAATCCTCCTGCCTCAGCCTCCTGAATGCTGCGATTACAGGTGTGTGCCACTGTGCCCAGCTATGTCGGCTCTTTAAAAAAGCTTTCCTATCTCTCATTACAATAAGCTTAAGGGAATAAAGAAAATGAGGACTTTTTCTATTTTAATGATTATTATTTATTATCATCATCATCATTATTGCAGTACTGGGAATTAGAGGCAAGGCTGCCACACTGTGGGTACTTCCCCACCCTTTTTTTTTTTTTTGGTACCAAGGCTCGAACTTCGGGCTTCGTGTTTGCCAGGCAGGTGCTTAAGCTGCTGAGCTATCTCCCTGGCCCCTCTTTTTATTTTTATTTTGAGACGGGGTCCCGCTAAGTCACTAAGTTGCCCAGGCTGTGATCGAACTCGCAACTCTGCCTCAGCCTCCCACGGCGCTGGGGTTACAGGTGTGCACCACATCTGGTGTAGTTCTTGGTTTATGTAGAGATGAGGCCTTGCTCTGGTGTCACCCAGGCTGTCATGTCACTCCTAGGCTCATGCAATCCTTCTGCCTCAGTTTCCAGAATAGCTTGGGTGACAGGTGCATAACTTTAGAAGGCCTAGAAGATGTAGAGACCTTTTTTTTTTTTTTTTTGCATTTTAGGACAGGGTCTACAGGGTCTGCAGGGTCTCACTGCGTAGATCAGACTCGTAGTGATCCTCCTGTTTTCAGCCTCCCAAGTGCTGTGATTACAGGCGCGTGCCACCACGCCCAGTCTCATTCACTGTCTCAGTGTGCCCCAGGGGCGGGGCCGGCACAACCTACAGATCTTAACACTGACCCAAGCGATCTGCTAGGAACCAACTTCTGGGTGACACAAAGGGCTGCACCGTGGTGCGGTTTCCCTGTGTTTTTCTGCCTATAAGACACAGAGGCCCAACCCATGCCCATCACAGATGGACTGTGACCCTGTTACTCCTGTGTCCAAGGCGTCTGCATGGGACAAGTGGGGGTGGGGTGGTAAGGGCCATGGTAAAGTCGTTGTCACATTCTTACCCAGAGGGGTCGCTGCAAGTGCCCCATTGTCACCATACAGGTGACCAGGTGGGCCATGTCCTCTCACACATTCAGGATCCCTGTGGCTCTTTCTCAGCTGTTTCCCCTCAGGATTCCCCAGGCTGTGACCCCTGCCTGCAGGTTTAATGTCCCAGCCTTCCTGGGGTCGCAGAGGTGACAAGTGCATTTCAGGGGAGGCTGTGCTGTGTGGGAGGGGTGGGCAGGAGCGATCCCCATGGAGGCCACTGCACTGTCCCCATCCTCCAGGAGAGGCAAGAAGAGCTCAAGTTCTAGCCTAGCCTGGCCAACTTAGAAAGACCTGTCTTAAATTAAAACAAAGAACCTCGCCAGGTGTGGTGGCACATGTATGTAATCCCAGCACTCAGGAGGCCAAGGCAGGAGGATCCCTGCAAGTTCCAGGTCAGCCAGGGCTACAGAGTGAGCTCAAAGCCAGCCTGAACTGCATAGTGAGACCCTGCCTCGAGAAGAATAAAACAATAACAACAACAACAAAAAAAGCACCTCAATGTGAAGGCCTTGGGCTCCATCCCAGCCCAGTACTGGGAAAAAAAAAAAAAAAAAAAAGACACGGTGTCACTGTCACACAGGGTCCTCTGCATTCTCTGTCTGGTTTCCTTTTTTGATGACACCAGCAGGGCCTCACCCTAACCTGCCTAACTGCGACTACACTTCTCACCAATAGGGTCGTGTACTGAAACACTGGGGGGCAGTGCTCCGCACACAGGTGG